ATGAGTTCCCTCTCTATCATTCTCAGAAGAAAGATATAAGGTTCCCCCTAATAATTTACAAACAAATCTAGGCATATTCTCTCTATTAGGGAAAGATAAGATTCCCCACAAACACATACTTAAATGTGGTACTAGCTAAAAATTTGAATTTTGAAGTTTTGCTATCCATCTCACTGTTGGATAACCAAGCAAGATGCTCTCTCTATCATATGAAGGTTTAAGGAAATAATCAAATTACAACTATAATTAAATGAGCTAGATAAAAATGTAACCATGAATTGATTAGTACTATCATATTTCTAAGGTAAAAATAAGGCGAGGGAAGTATTTTCCACAGCGCAAGTAAATTAGGAGGTTTACAATTATGTTATTTTATTATTTTAGTTGTTTAACTATTATTAGACATATAAATAGGTGGCTAGGATTATTAGTTTTCTTTAAGGTTTAAATCCAGAATTAAGATCATAAGTTATCTTCTTCTATGTTTTCAGCTTGTATACTTCTTTTGATTGCTTCTTTTTTTTTCCTTCTTAAACCACATCACTGAGAGTTCATGCGTAGTTAGCTCAAGAAATTAGGAAGGTTAGCAATTTAGAAGCAAACCTCGCCCTTGTTCTTCTAGACTTCAACGCTTACTAAACCCTTTCTCTCGGAACCTTGGATGGGGAAGATAAGAAAACACCGTTTTCATCTAAACTTTGGTTTTAAGTTCTTCAGTGTAATTCCACCACCAGACATCACATAAGCTCTTAAATCTGATCCTGTGAGCGGTGCACCCATAACCTCAAGAATCTGAGGAGATGTGTTAAGCATCCTCATGGCAATTCTATAAACTCAGTCGGGATTTATTGTTAATCTTGAGCGAAGATACAAGCCCTGATGATAATGAATGACCATGAAACAGAAGATCTTAAGATACTATCATTTTCCTATAAAAAAATGCCAGACTCATCCATTCAGGCAAGAAGCAAAATAACCATACTCATGAATCCAATAGCAAGATAAGGGCATTTCAAAGAAGCAATGTTTACTTTTATTGGAGTGTAGAAACACATTAGTCGACAAAGAAATGTAATACCAAGAATACAATAAGACTACAGACAATGAAATAAGGTGAATTCAACGGCTAAAGTTTCATTATAATTTGTTATCCAAGAACATTCATACAAACTCCAAAACCAGAGAAAATCATCAGAATTTGTAAAACACTACTTTGAGTAAACTTATGTAAATAGTTTGTCCAAACTCACGACATTAAAATTGGTATATAAAAGGTTCATAGGTATCGAATGACAAATGTAGGGCTGTAGATGAGCCGAGTCAAGCTCGATTCGACTCAAAAGTTTAAATCTGAGCTCATCTTGACTCGAAAGCTCACGAGCTAAAATTTGTCAAGCTTAACTAGAATTCGAAAAAAAAAATTCTCAAAAAAACTTGAATTCGAAACAGGATCAGACTTAGCTCAATTAAAGCTCTAACTCTAGCTCAAATTTGAATCTTAAGTACATAAAAATCTTATGTTGTATTTAAAAAACGACAATAAATAAATGTTAATATTATTAATAATTTAATTTTAAAAATTAAAATATTATTTTTTGAGCTGCTAGCTTTTCGAGAGGGATATCTCGTTCAGCTCAGCTCATTAAGAATGGAATTTGAGCTGAGTCCATTCAATTCAAGTATTGGTGGAGCTTTGACCGAAACAAATTCGAGTAACACAAGCTCTGTCTAGTCTCATTTACAGCCTAAACAAATGCAAGGACAACTCGCAATTAGCAACATTGATTAAGTGAATCAGTATGCAGAAACATCCATTGTGGTGTCAATGATTCAACCTCTAATCAATCCAAAACCCAAAAGCTAGTGCTCGCAGTTGGTGAATGAGCAAAAAACAACTTACAGCGAAAGAAACAATTGCAGTGGAAAGGGCGAGAAAGCCATACTTTGCCATTCCTTCAGAGAGACCAACAAAAGTGTTGGCAATACCGAACATAATCCTCCAAAGCATAGCACAAAGGAAAACTCCAACTCCAAACAGAAACAAGTAATTCCTCTTGAAAAAGGCATCGAAAATGCAAAGTGATTGCCTCCCGGTACTTGGACAAAGTGGAAGTGAAGACATCCGTAGGGATATGAAAAAAGGTTTTTGGCGAAATGGGTATTGAATTTGGAGGCTGAATTAGAGGGTTTAAAGGAAAATAACCTAAACCCAGGAGGGGAAAGGGAAATGAGTTGGGTTTTGGAATGTAAAGGTTTGAGAAAGGGTTAGTTCGGGAACGAAAAGGAAAATGGGAAAGAGCTGATTCAGCTGAATTTGAAGGGATTTGGTGGAACGGGTTGACTTGAAGACGGTTGAAATGAAGTTTGAGGAAAGCAGACACAATTCTTGAAGAAGAAGAAGAAAGCTTCCACATTTTCAAGTTCAGAGATTTTAGGTTCCAAGGACGCACAAACACTCGACAATCAAAATAAAGGAAGCTTACTTCACCTATTGGATTATCAAAAGAGAACGAAATTGCATTCTTGGAAAATCAGATCGGACGGACCGATTGAACGCAGGCTGAATGGTTGATTTAATAATATGGAGATGGAAAATTGATTAACTAAAGACATGTTAAGGTTGATGGAATATCCTCCAAGATCTTATATTTGGAAAATTCAGCTAAAATTTTATACAACATTTTTTTAATAATATGGAAAATTTAATTATTTAAATTAATAAATTATATTTTATAACTCAAATTTGATTTGTATTTTCTTCAAATCGAGTCGAATTTAAAAATTCAAATCGAGTAATTTTTTTGAATTTTTGCTTAATTTAATTATAAATATTTATAATATTTATAATATTATTTTATTATAATTTAATGATTTTTTGTGATCATACATAATACATAATATATATATATATATATTTTCATATCATATATATATTTTATATTTTTTCATATGTTATATACATATATCATACAATAGACTCGAACTTAAAAATCAATCCATTAATTAATATATTTTATAACTTGAACTTAATTTTTTTTATTCGAGTCAAATTTATAAAATTAAAACTTAAATCTATTTGAGTCAAATTCTATCAAATTAAATTTTGTCAAAAATACCATTTTTAAATCGAATCAAATTTTTCCACTAATAACATTTAGTTTATATTTTATTTTAATATCCCGCCATTAAAAAATAACAATAATATTAATATATCATCATAAAATAATATCATACATTTTATCGTTGACAAGATTAAAAAAACACTTAATTTTATTCTCTTATGTTTTAACGATGATGTATCAAATTTAAATCTAAATTAAATATTAATTTTTTTAAAATTAAATATTAAAATTGAACAAAAACAATAGTTTAGTGTTTAAATTTAGATATTAAACCCGTGATAATTTTTAACAATGCGATGAAAATTAAGTTGTTTATTACTATATTTTACGCAAAATTGGACGTGTAAAAATGACCCCTTTATTAAATATTTTGAGCTCGTTGAGCAAGATTGACCTAAAAATAATTTTTTTGTAAGGGAGGTCTCGTTAAAATACTTCCATATTCGTTGAAATACAAAAAAAATTTATCTCAACAAACATATTCGTTGAAATACAAAAAAAAAAACATAAACTCTTCAGGGTTGCAAAGATTCTATCGAGGACTATAAACATCCAATCGAGGCTATAAAACTATATAACCAAGACCAAAAACCTAGGATACATAAACGTTTAAAGGACCTAAATACACCAAAAGGGATAACTACATGCCCGGCTGAAAGTACACCTAAGCTATACACATCCCTCAAAGAAACAAAGCCAGACAAAATATTCTAAGCCATCTGCTCAACTGGGAACTGTAATGATAAACTAAAATGCACTTCACTAGAGCTTTGGGTATTCATTTCATGATTTTTGTAGACCTAAGCTGATGCAGGTAGAAAAGCTCTTCCAGGTTGACGATTAGCCAAAGGCCCATGGCATCCAAGAAGCTGCAGATTCAAGTTCCACTTTAGCAAGTCAAAAACCATCAAGGGAAATTAATCCATCATTGGTGCAAGTAGGGGCGAGCAAAACTCGACATCAAAAGACCAAATCTTTCTATCAGACTCTCTTTAACGCTAAAAAAATACTAAAAAATTCAAATGACGTCAATAAAAATTTTTGACTCAACTCAACTCGATCGAATACTAACCCCGGATGGAAGCACTGTGTTCGAAAGAGAATCGGTTTTCTTAATTCTTACCTTTGCATTGACACCATCTGGCACAATCCTGTTCTCAGACCTCCACTTCAGATAATCAGCACGGTTGTACTTGGCAAAACCCCTGAAAATGGGAATGAAAAAATGACTGATTATAATCCATGGATATGTTCATTTATGTAATGTATATAAACACGTACAGAAAACACACATGCGCACACATTGATCTTTACTTTCGTCAAGCTAGAACTACGCCTGAAGCAATAAGAGGGTTCTAACTCTTGAGCCTAAAGTGTGTTTTCTACCCTATGCTTTCACAAGCAGAGATTAACGGTATCTGTTGTCTAGTACAGACTAAGGAGTTTCAGAGTTGAATCTCTAAGAACCAAAATTCCATACCACTTCCTGCTAACGATAATCTTTGCTGGCCGGGAAACTTGAATTTTGCTCGACGTAGGGCCTCCTGAGCATGATGGCTGTTGCTGTCCTTACAACGAACAGAAAGCAGGACCTGACCAATGTTAACTCTTGCACATGTTCCATGAGGTTTCCCAAAAGCACCCCTCATTCCAGTCTGAAGCCTATCAGCACCGGCACATGAAAGCATCTTGTTGATCCAAAGAACATGGTAGGGATGGACCCTAACCCTCAAATGAAAAGCGTCTTTCCCTGCGGATTTGGCCATGTATTTGTTGCAGGCGATTCGAGCAGCCTCCAGTGCCTCACTCGAGACATTCTCCTTCTCCCAACTGACCAGATGGACACAGCAAGGAAGCTCATCAACACCTTTTTTCTTCATTCCAACATCATAAATTCTGATCTTAGGGTCCGGAACACCACGGCAGTATCGAGATTTCGGGTATGGCTTGTTCTTGATTTGTCGGTAACACCTCCAAGGTCCTACAGAGAAGGTTTTTAGCAAACCAAGTAACCAACACACTTTTACAAAATCAACAAGTTTAGATTCAAGTATGCCGCTAATCCTTGCACTTCAGCAAAATCTAAGATTGTCCATCTTCTTAAAAACAAAAGTTAAAAATCAAATCTTCTTCTCTTTATTCAAAAAATCTAGCTTAATCATTGACACAGGTAGTAATTTCTATAAAAAAATTGTTTATCATCAGATATTATTACCAAGTTCATAATAATAATAAGCAAATTTTAACAAATAAAATAGTAAATCTCAAACCTTAAGAACAATAAAAAAAATCCATATTAACATAAAAATAAGGGTAAAGTATAGTAATGGTCACTGAACATTTCAGAAGCTTGCATTTAGGTCCCCCAACATTTAAAACTTGCAATACAGTCCCCCAACATTTATTCCGTTTGCAATATGGTCCCCCAACTTAAACCACAGTTAGAAAATTAGGATAAATTATATAAATGGTCATTGAACTTTTCAGTCACTTGAATTTAGGTCCCCCAACTTTTAAAACTTGCAAAACAATCATCAATTTCATTCTAAACCCCAATTTCCAAAGTAATTCAATTTTATTCTAAACCCTAAATTCCAAAATACTTAAATTAAATTCAATTATGTCAAAGTTATTATTATTTAATTTCATCTTATTTCATGTGATACGTATTTTTTATATAAATATAATAGTATAATTCTTATCTGTTGAAGAAATTTTTTAATTAAAAAAAGTAGTTAGGATATAAAAGAGGTTGAAAATAATTCGAATTTTAAATTTATAAAATGTTATTTTGACGTATAAATAAAAGTGTAAACTACTCGGTTGACAACTTAACTATCTAGCCCTTTTTACTTTTGTCATCGATCTTTTAAATTTATCAATCATACCACATAATTATTTAACTGTTTCAACTAAGCCACTAGTCGTTACCAATTGATAAAAATGATGATGTGGCAGTTAAAAGGAATTGACATTATTATACATTCAGTCTTTATTATTTATATAATCAATTTGGTCCTAAATTAAATAAAATTTAATAAATTAATCATTTAATTAGGATCTGACATGTGTTAGCACATGATCATGACACGTGTCATTGGTGACACGTGTTACCACCTAATTATTTATATATGCTATCAATTTGGTCCTAAATTAAATAATATTTAATAAATTAATCATTTAATCAGGATCTGACATGTGTTAACACATGATCATGATATGTGTTATTGGTGACACATGTCACCTCCTAATTAGAAGAAAATTAAGTTACAAAGAAGTAAAATTTGGGTCTTGGGCAAACTCAAACCTGAGTCACGCAAATGAAAGATATAGGGTGGAGCCACTAAGCTAACATCATCGTTTGTGTTAAGAGATATACAATAATACATATACTAATAGTATGACCAATGCCAGAAAAAAAAGAATATAATGTAAAATGGAAATAATGAGATTTGAACTTCGGCAAAAAATTTGAAAGCAATAAATGATGGGAAAATATTATATTTTTACAATAAAAAATATTATATTTGATAAATTGTTTGATAGATTTAATATATTTTTTAAATATTAGTTGATACAATATTTTAAAAGAATAAATTTAAGATTTATATATTTTTAAACTAAATTTAATAATTATATTTTTCATATTTATAATTCATGATTATATATAATCTTAAGTTGAGTATTTCTAATATAATTAATAATTTTAATTTCTTATTAAAAATAAAATATTTAAAAAATATAAATTCATACATTAATATGAATATATTTTTTATTTATACATCTAAATATAAATATACATTTATATAAATATATTTTTATTCGTTGTGTCTGTGCCTTGAACTCTTTCTTCAAGCCTATATTACCTTAAATTGAAGTATTTTAGAATTTAATTGAAGTATTTTAGAATTTAAGGTTTAGAATAAAATTGAATTACTTTGGAAATTGGGGTTTAGAATGAAATTGATGACTGTTTTGCAAGTTTTAAAAGTTGGGGGACCAAAATTCAAGTGACTGAAAAGTTCAATAACCGTTTATATAATTTATCCTAATTTTTTAACTGTGGTTTAAGTTGGGGGACCATATTGCAAACATAATAAATGTTGGGGGACTGTATTGCAAGTTTTAAATGTTGGAGACCTAAATGCAAGTTTCAGAAATGTTCAGTGACCATTACTATACTTTACCCTAAAAATAATTCCAAGGATATCAGAGAACATCAATTATCATAAGAATAATCATATAGCAGCGAAGATATCAAAAGAATAAATCTAATAGAAAGCAAGCACAGGAGAAAGGAAGCAACTTACTCCTCCCCATTTTGTATGTCGTCCAGTCCGGATGAGGTTTGAGAGCGCAAAATGAAAATTCCCAAGGCCTAGCCTTTCGCCCTCCACGTTTTATATGGAGTAATTCATTTCGTGTTCAACAAACCACCGCCCAAAACCCAGATAGTGTTAGAATCAAACTTAATGTCAACAATAAAGAATTGTGCAGAAGCTACAAGAAACACGTGGCAACATGTGACAATTATCAAGGCGGTGTCAACAAAAAAGAATTGTGCAGAGAGAAACATGTGGCAACACGTGACAATTATCAAAGATTCAAGGCGGCGAACAGGTGAATTTTACGGGATTGTCTCAGGAAAGGCGGGTTAATATACTGTTAATATACGGTGTTACTAGATACATTAAAAGATATTTAACAAATTCGGTTTAGCACTACCGGAAATGTTGACTAATAATAATGTAGTAAGTCTAAGTCATTAAGAAATATTAAAAAATTGTGCAACCGGCAAACTTAACTTGTCGGTTCGTATCGATCCAAATTAAAAATATGTCGATCCAAAACGATATAAGAGGTAAAACTATGACAAAACCGGTATTGAAATGATAAAACCGGTAAAGCGCTACCGGATACATTTAAAGTGTCGGTACTTTAATATAAGGATCGACACTTCGTGAATTTAAAATAGAAGCAGTTTTAAATCCTATAAAGTGTCGATACTTTTAAAAAATGTATCGATCCAAAACGATATACCAGGTAAAAATATGATAAAACCGGTATCAAAATGATAAAACCGGTAAAACGTTACCGGATATATTGAAAGTGTTGATACTTTATATAAGGATCGACACTTTGTGAATTTAAAAGAGAAGCAGTTTTAGCGCCTATAATGTGTCGATACTTTAAAAAAATATATTGATCCACAACGATATAACAGGTAAAAATATGATAAAACCGGTATCAAAATGATAAAACCGGTAAAACGATACCGGATATATTGAAAGTGTCGATACTTTCGTAAATACGTGTAATAAATTATCGACACTTTCAAAGAAATATGTAATTATCCATTCGAAAGTATCGACACCTGACATAAAAGTATCGACACTTTTGTATTTGTATCGATTAAATATAAATAACATATCCGATGAAAATATAAAGGCCATATCTAAATATCCTCTGAAAATCGATAGAACGGACGAGTTTTTGAAATCGAAGCGTAATTGTTGCTGCATTTCAGAAGGCATTTCTAAAGCGATGTTTGTTTGTTTGTTGATGCAGTCGAATCGAAAAGTATGTTGTCGAAACCCTAGTTTTTTATTATTACAGCAATCGAAAAATATGTTAGTAAAATTGCACCTCATTAGTTTGATAATTGAAATTATTTATGTATGTCCTCAGAAAAATGCGGAAACATACGAGAGTATTTGGAAAATTTGTTGAAGGCCTCTAATGTTCCGGACTTCGTTAGAAATAACCCTTTTTCATCGGATTAATTTCGTTTGTCGGTACATTATTTGAACATTCTTGTGTATGTATATTTTGGTGTGATTATATTGTGTGTATACTTTCATTAATTATTTCATATTTGCTTCTCTGTATACATATACATTTGAGGATTGTTAAAATATCAATACTAGTTATTAATGTATTTTACATCTGCTTGCAAATGTATCGAAACACATTACTATATCATTGTTTTCCATGATATCCACAACAAAGTTTTCACACTTTTTAATATTGTGTCGGTACTTTATGTCCAGAATGGAAGAAAAATGTGTCGATACCTTTTCAAAAGTGTCGATTGAAAAAATATCGGAACCCATAATTATAATGTAATAGATAATTTTGTAATATAATCGGTATAAATATATCGGTTTTATGAGCGAATAGGTCTACAACCTATATCGACACATTTTAATATTGTGTCGGTACTTTATGTCCAGAATGGAAGAAAAATGTGTCGATACCTTGTCAAAAAGTGTCGACATTTACACATCGGAACCCATAATTATAATGTAATAGATAATTTTGTAATATAACCGGTATAATATACCGGTTTTATGAGCGAATAGGTCTACAACCTATATCGACACTTTTTAATATTGTGTCGGTACTTTATGTCCAGAATGGAAGAAAAATGTGTCGATACCTTGTCAAAAAGTATCGACATTTACACATCGGAACCCAGAATTATAATGTAATAGATAATTTTGTAATATAACCGGTATAAATATACCGGTTTTATGAGCGAATAGGTCTACAACCTATATCGACACTTTTTAATATTGTGTCGGTACTTTATGTCCAGAATGGAAGAAAAATGTGTCGATACATTGTCAAAAAGTGTCGACATTTACACATCGGAACCCAGAATTATAATGTAATAGATAATTTTGTAATATAACCGGTATAAATATACCGATTTTATGAGTGAATAGGTCTACAACCTATATCGACACTTTTTAATTTTGTGTCGGTACTTTATGTCCAGAATTATAATGTACTAGATAATTTTGTAATATAACCGGTATAAGTATACCGGTTTTATTAGCGAATAGGTCTACAACCTATGTCGACACTTTTTAATATTGTGTCGGTACTTTATGTCCAGAATGGAAGAAAAATGTGTCGATACCTTGTCAAAAAGTGTCGACATTTACACATCGGAACCCAGAATTATAATGTAATAGATAATTTTGTAATATAACCGGTATAAAT